AAAAAAAAAAAGAAGTGAGAAATGATAACAAATCGAAAAATTCCAAGTATTTCGAGAATCGAGTTGAAAATCATTTACTTAAAATAGTCAAACCTGAATCGTGTACAGAACCCAGGTCCACCAAAGTTCATGTAGAGAATGGACACGGTAAGCCAATGGATATGTAATCGCTAATGGTGCGAATCTGATCGCTAATGCCAGGCATCTGCAAGTAATCAGTTGACAAGTAATCTGGTAGTAGACGAGGTGATATGTTTCCCTTTCCCACTCCAGTTAAGAAAGGATAGAAGCTGGACGGATAGCGCTTACGTAGTTCCTTGCACCCTCTTAAGCCTACGAAATAACGGTTTTAGAGGTACTTGGCCATACAACATGCTACTGTCCTTGCAATGGATCGGGAAAAGGTGAACACACTGCACAAGAACGATCTGAACCGAAAATCGAAAACCATAAATCCACTCACCTCGTAATTCTTCTTAACAATATCCAACTCCTGCATATCAAGTACCATGGTAAGTAGACGAAATTGATGATGATTGAACGTTTCTCGAGTATGGGCTTCTATAAAGAGTACTATCTCAGAGCTAGAAGCAGATTATGGGAAACCATGCTCCCCCATTTCCGTAACATTTGGATAGGTAATTTTTACAAAAGGCATGAGTATTCCGTGTATGGCTAACGATGCCACATATGCCTTCACAGAGAGTTTCTGATGACACTCCTCATGCATTCTGTCGCTTCCCACCCCCGCAATAATGGCACTGGCCCTACAATTAGAGGGCACACCCTTCGCACCGCATTGTTGGAATTTTTGGTAGATACGATTCGTTCTCACACATTGAACATGCAATTTCAGATGGTTTACGTAACTAGAAAAACAATTAGATAACATGGGAAAGTCACAATGGCCTCGAAGTGCACCCCCGGCTCTAACCCATTCCACGGATTGAACCCTAAGAACTAGGTTAATTCATAGAGAAAAGAGAACATGCATTTTTGAATTGCGCTATGGAACCAAATAAACAAAACTGAACTGAACGGGTAATGAAAACAACCCGGAAGGGTTTTCTCTATCCTATCCCACTTAGATTGAGCGGGCGGGCAATACCGCAAGGATATGCACACGTAAGATTAAAGAGGATCATGATTCAAGCAGGAACTTTCAACGTGGGTAACTTCTACGAATCCACGAGTATCGGATTTGACAACCTTTGGGATACAACCCAATCAGTTGGGATGAGTTCCGACCAAACCTTGTTCAGGGGGTTAGCAAGCAACTGACAAAAGAAGAACGAACAACGAGGCATATGCATAGACACACCACAACAGCACAACTATTACATACCAACCTGATCGGATTTCTCTGGCTAGAACAAATGAAAATGTTAGAAATAGTAGTGGTTAGTACAAATAGCAGCTATCATAATGAAAAACATCGAAAGGCTCACTATTCGTTGGACATTGAGCCAGCTATTTCAGAGCCAACTTCAACCCGTAGGCATTTTGGTAATGAAGTATTGAATTGCAATAATGAACCCAAAGAAGAAAGACCAAGACTAAGACCATCTACCCAAAGAAGTTTTGGAAATTGATCGCAGACCACACTCTTCTTGAGAAAAAACCCTTCGCAAACGACAATTCAATCAACTACCATTTAGCCTAGGTTAATAGGAACTCCCACACGCAAAGCTCATCGATGCTGCTGGTTTCAACTGCGTTCATAAATTCTCAAAGCAGTCTTGCTCATTTATGAATTTAATACATAGCACCAACCACGTGTGGAGTTAGCAGCCACGGATCTTCCAAAAGAGCTTCACAGTGCACTCTTTTTAAATGCAAAGCTGTGTACAATCCTGCTCCTG